CAAAAAATTAGAATTTAAACAACGACCCCAACAGCTTAGTGAGATACTCAAATATACTATACCATACTATTACTCTTACTAGGTGCATGTTGTATTTGAGTTAAGCTTGACCTAAATTTTTAGGACATTTCGAGTTACTTTCAATTATGTCTAACAATTTTTGAATTTGACACAATCACATAATCATATAAAAATGTACACAAAATATATCTTATAAAATTCAATTGAAGCACGTTAGGTTGTTGTCATGTGGTGTGATATGATATGATGAGATATTTTCAATCCCCATTACATGAACTCTATAATATCCAATATTAACACATACCTTGTTTTTATAATTTATCAGTGACTTGTAGCTTTTATTTTAAAAATTATAATTTAAAATGAAAATCTACATTAGTTGTGCCTCTTAAGGTCGGCGAAGGTGTTAACGGATTCCTTTTGATCTGTTCTTTAAAGCAAGCTAAGATAATTATTAGCTTTTCTAAAGCTAGACTCATAACATGCATGACTTTTTTTTTAGTTTAAAAAGTTAAACAAGCCACCACCCACCACCATCTTGTATGTAAAGGGATCACTTTACACAGAGCTTGAGAGGGGCCGATAAACATGCCTGAAAGAAATAGATTTCAGCTTTATGGAGCCAAGAAACAAATCATTTAATTGAATATATGGACCAAATAAATAATTTTTGACATTAGCCCATTGTCTCTTTACCAGGAATCCCTTAGTTTTACTAAAACAATGTTGCTCATGAGATACAATTGAGGAGAGACCAGTGCATACACTGTACTATTTTCATTTGGTCATTTTTTGTGAGTCCCATAATTTGATATGCCAAAAGTTTTAAATCTTTTTGTATCAAACTTCCTTATGGTTAACAAAATATGTTGAATTGAACTGGACTAGCAACAAGATTCATTCACAACTATAGAACAAAATATGTATATTCAATGGTATGTTAGCTGGTGTAATGTCGGTGTTAAGCATATAATCAAACACATATATAACATCATGCAAGCTTA